CAGTAGCGGAACTTGCAGGGGCCAATCAACGGTGGATCAACGGTTGAATGGAATCAACGGTGGATGGATGGTTGAATCTTGGACGACGTATAGAAATGATATACGTGGAAGGTGCTATACCGTGGATTACGAAATACCGTGGATCAACGGTAGATTCCGGTACACGAAGTTGAAAATTCCTCGAGGATTCCGATAAACCGTTAATTCACCGTTGATTCACCGTTAAACTTCAACCACTGAATGAGTTCTTCTATGGATGCCACCACTCTGAACTGTGTGTCGTTTTATCTAAAAGCCCATTCTACCATCTGTGCCGCCATCGTCAAGCGCATTTAGCTTAGAGATCTCTGTCTGTAATCATTGTAAAACACTTTCCTTGCAATGAAGCTATAGAAAATGTCTACTGGACAGCAGAACTCGGTCTTAGATGCGCAGGCTCCTTATCCTCTTCTCGATTCTGACGATGAGAATCCCTCTGTTCGGGAAGATTCCCTTTCTCCACGCGTAAGTTTACTTGTTTTTATATCCCTATGAATCATTTACTATGATTTCCGAGTAAATCCCATATATATTGTAGTAATTGATTCATTTGGTGGTGAAGGCACACAAGCGACAGCGCCGCGAAGAACTCTCTGCGCCGAAGAAGCGCAGTAAGGGGACGAAGAACGGACAAGCGTCCCAGTCCGAGCTTGATTTCCTGTCTCAAGCAAAGAAATTTGGGCGCGAAACTCGGTGGAGTTGGTTCCTCAACCATGACACCGATGCCTATCCTTCGTTGATCCGGAAGGTATATGGCCAGGATTTTCCAGCCGAAATGACTGCGGATTCTGCCCTCTGGCGCCGGGCCAAACAGGTCTTTAAAGACCAAGTCAAAACGTTCAAGGCCCAAACCATCGAGAAGATGAGAGTAAGTTCAAAATTCTAAGTCCCCAAGTCTAGATTTCCATTTCCCCCTTCTAGATCCCATTTTCAAGTCCAGATCTCATTTCCCCCTTTAGATTTCTCTTTTTAAGTCCATATTCCATATCCCAAGTCCAGATCTACATTTCCAAGTCCATTTCAAGTTCAAATCAAGTTTAAATCTCCAGAACGCTATATTTAACTCCAGATCTATTTGTCCAAATCTAGAATTCAATGTTTAAGTATTTAACTACTATGTATGTAGGACTGGCTCGAGCAGAACGTACTCCTGAATCAAGTCTTGTCTCGACTAGATTCCGCTGGTGTTGCCCTCCATCTCGGCGAAAAGTTCTCTTCGGAGGATTTCCTTAACGTATGGTATTATATGAAGGGATATCTAGATGTAGATAAATCCTCTCAATTGGGGGAATTTTATTGCAAGTGTAAGTTATATATTTCATATATCCGCGTTTTATCTCTTGTGTTTTGTCGAACTATGTTTTATCTAGTTGTCCTTTGAATCTGGATTTTATCCATCTAGATGTATATTCTGTCTAACTGTGTCCTGGCATTTGTCCATTTAAAGCCGCATTTTGCCCATAATCTAACGTAAAATAGCCATGTTTATGTCCCTGGGCTCGTTCGTGTGGGGGATTGTTCGGGCGGAGCGTATAGAGAAGACTGGCTCCGAAACGGCGAAATCCAAGCTTCATAAAGCTTGGTATTCAATGTGCCTTGCGGAGCCGTTTGAGGACGTGGATAGGGAGTGTTTTAAAGAGCTATTTAATATTAGCTCTGGGCAGAGGGACCCTACACCGCGTCAAAATGACGCTACACTAGCGACAATGTCGTTTGCACTTATAGCCCCCCCTCCTCACCCCCGCGACTCTAGGTCCGGTTAGTCCCCGTTCTTCTCCCCCCTCTCCTCTCTCCTTTCTCCTCTCCTCCCTCCTCTCCCCCCTCTCTCCCCTTCCATTCGCGCTGTTTCGTTTTCTATGGTCTGTAGGACCGTGTGGTTGTTTTCTGTAGTCTGGTGTTTGTGGTCTGGTTTCTGTTTCCTATTTTCTTATGTAGTGTGTTTAGAACTGTGTTTTCTGCTCTGTATTTTATATTCCTGTGCTTTTCTATCAGATGCTCCGTTTTCGTGCAATATTTCTATAGTATAGTACTGCTTACACAGCCGCTAGGTGGCATTGTGCCTGGACTTCTAGATCTTTGGGATTCCCAACGTATTCTTGGGTATAGGATACATACACGGTATGTGGTTCTTAGACAACCAAACCCAGTTCCCTAACCCCTTAATATGTCTTGGCTTCTAGTTCCTCTAGGTCATCTCTACCGCCAATAGAAGACCTACTCCCTAATCTATATCTTTATAACCTAGTAGATGATGATCCGTTGCTAAGGATGGTTCCTAGTATACTTCTTATTCCGGCACGTATTGTCTACCTGCTATAGTGGATCCTACTACCCGCCTACCTGCCTGTCTGCCCGGAATGTAATTTCCTTTACTAGTTTTCTTTTGAATGATAAAGTAAATAGAATAGAATACGATACTATGTCTAATAGCCTACTGTATTCTCAATTGCGAGAACAACTTAGGTGCATACCGGTGGTGGATTTCGAAAATTGCAAAGTCCTGATACGCCAGTGTGCCTTCCATTTCTTATATTCCGTACCTGCTACAAACGTACTTAACACATTAAAATTCCCACATGCAACCTCTTATCTACCACAGCCTCACCTGCTACAACAGAACTTACACTTACACTCTTCATTCTTAATCTTATCCTTATTTCCTATTCTCACTCGTATCATCAATCATCTCTATATACCCATTAGATCCGACCTCGTTAAGATGTCTCGTATCCCTATTCGAGGCCTAGCGGATATACTCCTTGCCAAAACGACACAAAGGCATAGTAGGGACCAAGAAGGAAGCTCTTCAAAGAAGAGGAAGATTAAGGAAGAACTTGTGGACGATAGAGAATTCCTAGCTGGGTTTAGTGATGACGAAAGTGATTATAACGTCAGTCCTGACCTACATGCCGTAAGTATAATGGATATAATAAATCTGATAAATATTCAACAGAATGACTTACAGGTAAATAGGATCTTGCCTCTGATGACCTTACAGAGAACCTCATTGGCCTCCAGACTGACCAGGCTGAAGTCGTTGACGATAATGAGACAACCCTTCTAGATCTACACGATCTTCGGCTGCTCGAGCAGTTCCAGGATCCTGAAGAGGAAGATATAATACCAACGGTTCCTGTCGATACTATCGATGAGGACGATATAGAGACTGTTATATCTGCCACAGTTGGATATCAGCCATCTTTCACTGCCGCACCTTCTACCGCTGTATTTGACACGGTCGCTGGTCCTAGTCACGTCACTGCTGAGGCCACTGCGGCCATCCAACCGCCTGCGGACTTCGACGACTCAACACCTGTCCCCAACCCTCGAGCAGCCCCTACATCAGACTTTGAGGTTGCACTCGGCCTATGGTGTCAAGAGGCAGGTATCTCACGCGCTCAGTGGACAGGCCTTCGAGAAATCCTTAATATGCTGAGCGATGACGCTGTAAAGAAGCTGCCAAAGGCCCTAGATACCCTGAAGCTACATGCTGTTGGCCAACTCCCTCTCCTTGAGCTCCGTCAGACCCCCATCAAGCTTAATATTGCCAAGCTGCCTGCCTCAAGGAGGAAAATCATTATGAGCAGAGCATTAGCAGCGGGTCAGGTTGCCACTGCGCCTGACAACCTCTTCTTCTTTAACCCTATCTACCTCTTCCAAGCTATTCTCTCATCAACGATCCGCGAGCGTATGCATATCGGAATGGCCCATTTCGTTGATGAGCCGGCAGAGCTCTGGCACTCTACCGCCTGGGCCTCTTCAATCCGCTACTCCTCCGGCGAGTTCCCGCGTCTCCCCGAAGGCCAGGTAGTCTTTCCGTCTGATATTGTACTATACCAGTGCAACGAAGCTATATGCCGCTGCCACACAGACGCTGACAAAAATCACATCGGTCGCATTCTCTCGTTTGGTAGAGACTACCGTAGCCAACGTGAGCATCGTGGCCCTATTGGATCGGTCGTCGTCGAGGTCCAAAAGATCGTTCCGTTCATCGATCTTATGGATACACGCCGGGATCTCTTGCTCATGATCATCAAGCTTGACCCTCTGCCAGAAAATAAGGAACTAGTGATCCTAGAGGATGATATTTCTATGGTTCTCGAGAGTGCTCTTACTCCATATACCTTCAACTTTGACATCTTCCTTGACTATGCCTTCGAGAGCAGCGTTAAGCTTAGAGACGACAAGAGCCATATTCAAGGCCAGCTCTTTATCCGCCGTATTTTCCGTGGGGACAATATCCGCCCTCTAAACCAGTCTAGGGCTATCCGTGGCCAGATAGAGATAGCGGAATATGGTCGCCAGTATCTCGTTGACAAGTTTAGCAAAAGTTCTAACATTATCTCTATTCCCCTGCTCGCCTTTCTTGACGGGTTCGGCTTATTTCGGAACATGTACCGTACGATTATGGGGTTCTATCTCTTATTAGCGCCTCTCCGCAGTTCAGACCGTAATAAGAGGCAGAATGTCTTCCCACTTACACTCGGCCCGCATGGCAGCAACTTTACAGAGGTTACCGATGCCCTTAGAGGTAGAATAACACAGCTCGAACGAGGCATTGATATGCTTATCACCGGTAAGCAGTTTACCGTCTGCGTCTCTGTTATGGCATATATTGGTGATATGCCCCAGCAGCAGACCAATTCAGGCTTCCGATCTGTCGCCGCCGAATCTACTTGCAGGATGTGTCTTGTCGAGACTGCCCAACGTGGCCTCCTTGATTTTGATATCGAAGCCCGCGGCCGATACCACTATGAAGTTATACGTCAGAGGGCTTCTATCCGAAGCAGACCTAACAAGATCCAGAGGAAGATTACGGCCGATAAGTTAGGTATGGAAGCAGAGGACCCGGCATTGATGAAACTGAGTCCTGCTCTTGATCTCGTCCTCTCCCGTCCTCCCGATCCTTTCCACTCTGAACTCAATGGCATCACGAAGCTTACGCACCTTCTGTGGAATGGAGATCTCTTGACAAAAAAGGCCGCAGCCGAATATGGTCGGTTGCTCCGCTCTTTTCCGTTCCCTCCCGGATGGGGTCGTCTCCAAGCTCCTGAGCACTACATCGGAAGCTACTCCCTTCAAGAGCACGCCCGATGGAGCGTTATTGCCCCCTGCCTGGCTCGAGTTTGGTTACGCGAAAAGCATATCCAGAATGCGTACTTCGAGGGCGTCCATATTGCGTTTAAAGATATTATGGTCGAGATTGGTGAATCTAGCAAGAACCCCAGCAGACAGCTTGTCCCAAACTTGATCGTTACGGCGTTATCGGCGATTGCCAAGTCTAACATGCTCTGCACTGCTTCTCACCTGACGCAAGGAGAGCGTCAAACTTTCGATACGGATATCAAGCGGTGCCGTGACATGTTTAAGCGGCTCTGCAGAGCTGCTGCTCTTGCGTCGTCGAGTCGTCGGACATCTGTTAATCCGCCTGCCTCAGATACTGCCCCCCAGGTAGGCGGAAAATCAACTGCTAGCCAGATAGTCGTCTCATCGATCGAGACGCCAGGGCCAATGCAAGGACAGACAGCCATAGATGGTGCCCTCACCACAAAAAAGGCCATCCAGTTCCAACGGGATCAGCAGAGGCCAAATGTCCATATTGGTTTACATTTTCAAGAGGTTCTCCGTGAGTATGCCATCCCTGCTAACGCGGGTGTCCTGCCTGGTGAGAACAAGCATAAGGAGTACAAGAATGCCATCCTCCTTACAAATAAGCGCAACCCTGAGAAGGACCTCCTCTAGCGCGAGAATATTCGTCAAACCCTCCGCCTCGCCCTTACCGGTGCCTTTCCTAATGCCAAGATCACTAAGCAGCTCCAAGACATTGACCAAGCCTGTCCAACGCTCTTCCGCACTCTGTTTCCACAGGAGACTATGCGTCTGGCGATCGATGAAGATAATACCGGCGATACCGTCGAGAACATCATCTTTGACGATGGTCATCGTAATCCTACAGCGCAGTCTAAGATCCAGCAGAAGTATTGCCGCGAGACGCTCAAGCTCCCTACACGCCCGTCACATATGACAGCAGGTTTCCGTGGTAATTTATCCTCTGCCTATCTCCGAGACTATGGGCGGAACGTACACCATATGGGAACCAGTGTCGTCGAGTGGTGGAAGAAGTTCTCGTTTGATGCCAATAATAAGAGGACTACTTTTGGACGAGGTGACTTCATCCAGGTCCGTGGTACCACCCTTAAGGTATGCGGTATCGACGATATCTTCACGCATGAAGCGCTGCCCGGCTATAAGCGCCTGTTCCTCATCCTGACGCCCACCTTGCAACCCACCGAACGTGTCGATCCTGCGCCTACCTCACAACACACCGGATGCGTCAATCCTGTATCGACCTCGCAAGCCACCGGACGTATTGACCCTATTCTCAAGCTCCCTCTCCTGCGTATTGAAGGCGAGGAGCAGCAGTTCTTCGTCGGCCTTCCTGCTATCGAAGCTACCAAGCTCTTTATCCTCCCCGTCAAGGAACACGACGGACATGACAATGAGATACCGTTGGACAAGGATTCGGACACGCTGCTATATGTAAACTGGAGCAAGATCCACTTTATGTAGTGCCTGGCGCCAGACAAGCTTAAGATAGCTGGCTGTCAGGAGAGATAGATGAGACGGATCTGTGTAATAAGAAGGGCGCTCTGGTGGCTTGCAAACTATACGATAGATGGATGGATGGATGGATGGATGGATGGATGGATAGATGGATGGATAGATGGGTGGATGGATTCTGATGGCTTACAAAGTGTATGATGGATGGACGAGATGAATAGATGGATAGATCGCTGCACTGATGGCATCAAATGGGTGTCTGGGACCGATGGGACGAAAACAATACACCGGCATACACTTCCTACCGTGGGAGGTAAAGTCTCTCTACACCGACCACAGGAGCGCCGCACTACCTCTAACCCACCCAACTCTGTTCGACTCTTAACATGAAGGGGATTTTACACGCGATACAGCGATGTATGTATAATACACAGGCTTTCCGATAAGCTTAGCAAAACATTCAAGCAGCATGGGGGGCTGGTTGTAACGAGTAAAACATTCCTGCAAGTGAACCACGTGATTAGTAGTCGATCTGCGGTGGACAAACCAATCAACGGTATAGACCCCGATCAACCGTTGATATACCGTTGAATAAGTCTATACGTATAATGAAATCAACGGTGTAGGCGAAAATCAACCGTTGAATGCGTTATACGAAGATGCGAAATCAACGGGGAAACTTCGGTTGATTCGTATCAACGGTTGATTTCTTTCAACGGTGGATCAACGGTATATCAACGGTTGATTGGCCCCTGCAAGTTCCACTACTGATCTACCCATCCCTTCTGCCTTAGGCCGCAAGGCCACAACATACAGACTGGGCGAAGCCCAAGACTGTCACAAATATTCATATTATTCATATTCGTGAAGAGCGAATATGAATAAGGGCCATATTCGTATTCATTTATTCATTTCGGAGCTCTAGTACCATCCCATCGCCAATTTGATTTCAAAGCATTTGCATTACTAATCAAACATTACTTATCAGCTGTCGCCACTTATACTGTTCGTCCAGTATATAATGACTTCATCTGCAGGGGAGGTAGGCGGGGAGGAGGCTGAAGAAATCTTGAGAAAGCTTGGGAAAGTTATCGAGCAAATTCCATCATCGTAACTCTTCCAGACGCGTACCCGAATGCAACTACGCCTCCATAGACAGCAATGCGGCTTGGCCTATGCTCAAGAGGAAGCCAAAGGATTCGCTCGGTACGGCGACTCACCCATTGGTCCTGGACAAAGATAGAAGACGGAAGCTGTGAGCTAATTACAGGCGTAATATTAGAGGGAGTTTGTAAAATAGGTAAGGATCCTCGGTTGGTCTGAAGAGAGGTGCCGTCATTGGAGAAAGACAGAGTTTCGAGGACGGCCCCAACCTCGAGCGTCTGCAGCACTGCGCCCGACCCGGCGTCCCACAGCCTGGCCGTCCCGTCACCCGAAGCCAACGCCAGCGTCTTGCCGTCCGGCGAGAACGCCATGGCCGTGATGGTGCCCGAATGGCCCTTGAGCCTCTGCAGCGCCGCGCCCGACCCGGTGTCCCATAGCCGGACGGTGCGGTCCCCCGAAGCCGACGCCAGCGTCTTGCCGTCCGGCGAGAAGGCCACGGCTGTGACGTCGTACCCATTGCGCTTAAGCATTTGTAGTACAGCGCCCGACCCGGCGTCCCATAGCCGGACAGTGCCGTCCTCCCAACCCGACGCCAGCATCTTGCCGTCTAGCGAGAACGCCATGGCCATGACGGCGCCCTTATAACCCCTGAGAATCTTCAGCGCGCCGCGCTTATGACCCATGAGCCTCAGCAGCGCGGCGCCCGACCCGGCGTCCCATTGCAGGACGGCGCCGTCCCACGGAGCCGACGCCAGCATCTTGCCGTCCCATCGCAGGACGGTGCCGTCCCACGAAGCCGACGCCAGCGTCTTGCCGTCCGGTGAGAAGGCCACGGCAGAGACGGTGTCCGAATGACCCTTGAGTGTCTGCAGCGCGGCGCCCGATCCGGTGTCCCATCGCCGGACGGTGCGGTCCACCGAAGCCGACGCCAGCGTCTTGCCGTCCGGCGAGAAGGCCACGGACAAAACGGGGCACTTATGGCCCTTGAGCATCTGTAGCGCGGCACCCGATCCGGCGTCCCATAGCCGGACGGTGCGGTCCCCCGAAGCCGACGCCAGCGTCTTGCCGTCCGGTGAGAAGGCCACGGCAAAGACGGGGCGCTTATGACCCTTCAGCGTCTGTAGCGCGGCGCCCGACCCAGCGTCCCATCGTCGGACGGTGCCATCGCACGAAACCGACGCCAGCGTCTTGTTATCCGGCGAGAAGGCCACGGCCGTGACGCAGCGCTCATCGAACTCGAGCGTCTGTAGCGCGGGGTCCTCATCGCCATCGAGCTTCTGTAGCGCGGCGACCCAGTAGCCCTTGAGCGTCGGTAGCGCGGCGTCCCCATGGCCCTTGAGCGTCTGTAGCGCGGCGCCCGACCCGGTGTCCCATAGCCGGAGGGTGCCGTCCCACGAAGCCGACGCCAGCGTCTTGCCGTCCGGCGAGAACGCCACAGACATGACGGGTCCCGAATGGCCCTCGAGCGTCTGGAGTGCGGCACCCGACCCGGCGTCCCATCGCCGGACGGTGCCATCCCACGAAACCGACGCCAGCGTCTTGTTATCCGGCGAGAAGGCCACGGCCGTGGCAGCGCCATTATCGACCTTGAACTTCTGTAGCATGGCGCCCCCATGGCCCTCGAGCGTCTGTAGTGCGGCGCCCGACCTGGCGTCCCATAGCCGGATAGGGCCGTCCCACGAAGCCGAGGCCAGCGTCTTGCCATCAGGCGAGAAGGCCACGGACGTGACGGGGCCCGAATGGCCCTCGAGCGTCTGTAGCAGCGCGTTCCATTTCTCCGAGACCCGGGGCAATTGCAATATCTCCCCGGATATGCGCCCTTCGAACTGCTTCCTTATTACGCTAGTTGTTGGTACGAATATGAGGCAACTCCAGTACGTCTGAAGTGGAGCCTGCTCGATCGCTGGCCGGTTATAGAGTATAAACCGCTTGGCGTCATAAATGAAATCCGAGAAACCAGGGGGATTACGCTCAGTAGCATGAACGACCTGGCGTTGATACGCAGGAATTGAAGCTGATGGTACGGAGCCGGAGATCCATTTCAACATGTGCTGGAACTTCTTCGGAAAGGTCTTCGAGCGGTTTATCCGGCTCGGAGGTATATTGACAGCGGTCAACGACTCTAAAGAAGTAATTGCGTGTACTCCTTCCGGAACCTTCCCCATCCATCCAAGAGCTTCAAGCCAATGAAGAAGATGCTCCTGCAGGAACTGGTGTATATAGTCATTATCGGATGGTTGGATCTCGCTCCTTAAAACATGCTCGACCCAAAAGAGGCATGCGTACTGGACTTCGGGAGGAAGACTTTGCTCAATTTGGGTTCTCTCGACCTCGCTCGCAAGCAGGCCAGGCGCATCTAAACCGCAGATGTCTTGCTTAAGCCACTTCGACATAACTTGTATACAGCTGGCTGCCAAAATCTGATGGGCTTGCTTCTTATCTATAAAGAGATTTAGATCCCGGCATCTTTCGCTATTAAGTAGAAAGTCGCGAAACGAGGGGTGGTGTAGACGAAGCGGACGACTGTCAACTTTCGGGACGTCTAGGATAGCATGAAGATTCTTTAATATCTGATCGATATTTTGCCTAGAGACACCGAGCAATAGGTAAAGCGATCTAGTAGAGAGCGGTGAGAATAGAATCGCAATACTTCCAAGGATATGCCGTTGCATATGGTATAACCTCTCCTGCTCTTCTGTAGAGTATTTTGGCCGGATGGCTTTCTTTAGAACGGTAGTGTATAGCTCATTGAGGTGCTCCTCTGGTGCGCCAGTTGATAAGCTACCTTTTAGGAGGGTTTGTAGTCTCTCATCGGCGAAGGGGCCATCTTGAATAAATCGGTAGGCAGTTGCCGCCCAAATGAACAATCCACCTGCCATCTTAACTAGGCGCCTGATAATCTCTTCGCCTGGCCAGTAGGTATCGAGAGATCGTTCCTTCCTAAGAAGCTTGAGTTTATGCTCGAAGAAGATAGTGATGTCGTGGTCTATAATCGACGGTGATATATCATGGAGTATAAAATCTCGGTGTTCTACATCCGGTATCTGGCCAAATTTATACTTGATTGATACCTCGGGGCGGCTTGTTAGAAAGATCCGCAGTCGAATCGTCTTTAATGCTCGAGCTTCAGCCAATAGGCTAATAATGATCCGGATATTATCATCATTATCGCACTCATCGAGGGCATCAACGATAAGAACGTACGAGGATTGGCAACCATTTTCGCGTAGCTTTAACAGCGGATGTAGGATAAGTTGCTGCCACTGGTCGCGGAGAGACTGGCTCGTAATATCGCGGCGCTTTTCAATAGCCTGCAGCGGCTGTGTCAGTTTAGCCCTATCACTATCGCGATGAATACCTTACACATTCCGCCCCCAGAGCACTGGCAGATGAGCTGGGATTCGCATCCTCTCCAGGCTCGCAGATGGCTATAAGTACATGGACATTCCTTCTACATCCGCTGCGCTTGCTATGCTCGGGTCATTTGAAGGCCCTAAACAGACGGTTTGCCGAGGACCGCAAAGGCTACTGCGATTTCAATCCCATCTCCATGATGGCCTCCAACGGAAGCGAGCCAAGCGACCCCGATTGCGTTCTCATCGACCACGACGACGTCAGTAACTACAACCCGGAGCAGATACTGCCGGAGCCCCCTGAAATTATTCGGCACATTCGCATGTGGTTGCAACCAACTGCATACGACCTCGATAATGGTGAATACCGCAAGCATCAATCAACGTACTTACCCGGTACTGGGGTCTGGCTTACCTCCACCGACACGTACCAAGGGTGGCTGCACGGTGAAGAGAATGGGATGTTATGGATTAGAGGGATTCCTGGATCGGGCAAATCTGTAATGGCGTCGAAGTTGATCGATGACCTATCACAATCCCAACCAGGAGTCCCGGTGCTGTACTTTTTCTTCCGTCAGATCATTGATGCTAACCATGAGCCTGTCGCGTTGCTAAGGGATTGGCTAGATCAGGTGATTCGTTACAGCCCTCCTCTGCAGAAGCGGTTGAAGACGCACATATTGGGCCCGTGGTCCAGCCGGCCAGTTGGCGAGATATCAATGGACGATCTCTGGGGAGATCTGCGCATCGCCCTTTCCGGATTGCCAGGCAGAGTCTATTGCATCGCGGATGCCCTAGATGAAATGGATCAAGGTAATGACAGGTTTCTCGAGGCATTAGCGGCTCTCGGTAGCTGGAAACCAGACAAAGTCAAGGTTCTGATCACAAGTCGTCCAATCCCAAGTCTCGGGACCCCTTTGCTGAAGGCCAAGCCGCTTCAGATTCGGCTTGATGAGGATATGGTTAATATTGACATATCCAAGTATGTTCGGCATGTCCTAGCAGCTTCGCCGATCACTCCTAGTGATCAGAAGCTAATCCAAGACGCTGTCCCTGGACGAGCGAGCGGGCTCTTTCTCTATGCAAAGTTTGCAATGGATGTATGTCTTGAACCTGGAGCAAACATTAAAGAAGCGTTGAGGAAACTCCCTGCGGGCCTGAACGCTCTCTACACAGACCTTCTGCGCGAACACGCTCGTAGATCGGGTGTTCCTGATGACACCCAGCTGCTCATTCTTCAGTGGGTTACTCATGCTACTCGTCCGCTGCGACTTCTCGAAGTCGCCGAGATGATCAACGTCACCTATAAGTCAAAGGTTGAGCGAGACCTCAAGGCTACTAAGAACCTTGTCAGACTTGCGTGTGGCCCCCTCTTGGAAATTCTACCGGATGAGACCGTTAGCGTGGTTCATCATTCTTTCACAGAATACCTCAAGGGCTCCACTAGGCCGAATGGGCCCTCTGGATACCCCATTCTCGACCATGGCACGACACATGGGCGTTTTGCCCTTGCTTGCCTGGCATATTTGCAATCTGGTTGTCTTGACGAGGACAACATAGGTTGGAACTTTCGTCGTGAGGCGTCTCCGCTGTGGCTGAAATATCCCTTTCTCAAATACGCAGCTACCAACTGGTACACTCATGTTGCAAGATCTGCTGCTGCCGAGTATCAACAAGCCGACGTCAACAGAGCCCTCGACAGACTCTTCGAAAACCGCCAACGACTGAACGCGTGGCTCAATATCGGCTTGCCATTTGATGAGCGCGTACTTCACAACTGCCCCGGAATGCGATCAGCTCCATTGCACATTGCTGCTTACACTGGGCTTACGCGATACGTCAAACATCTCCTCGATTTTGGATCTGTTGACGTTGACGCCGAAGATGAAAACGGCAGGACTCCGCTGTGGTGGGCAGCTAGTCGCGGCAATGCAGAAATTATCCGCCTCCTACTGAACGCTGGATCTAACCCCGACAAGGATGACAGTGAATTCGGACTGAAGCCCCTGCACAAGGCTGCAAACCAGAATCACTTCCAGGCCGTCAAACTCCTGTTAAATGCTGGAGTGCACCCCCTGACTGAAAAAACGAAAGAGGATTCAGGGAATTTTTGTGGCAATGCCCCGAGAACGGTTGGCCATACGCCACTCATGGTAGGTTGCTGCCCAGGTTTTAATACCTGAAATGATGCCTTCGGGTTGCTCTTTATCTAACTCCGTTTATGTAGTACGCATGCCATGCTGGCCATCTTGAGACTGTTGAGGTCTTCCTGTCCTTCGTCAAAGACTTTGACACCGTACATCGTGCTTTGGCTTGGGCAGTTCGGGCATCCCGCTCTGAACTTGTAGAATTGATTCTCCGACATCCTGGTGTCAATGTCAATGCGAAAATTCGCGGGGACACGCCGCTGTTCCTAGCGTGTTGCGTCGGCGATGCTCAGTCCATCGCGCTCCTCATTAATGCAGGAGCGGACCCTAATATCCACTGCGCCCAAAGCGGAGACGAATTTGCGGGGTTTCAGCTCAGTGTTCCTTCTTCCCGGAGACGCGACCATTCTCGTGGTTTCACGGCCTTACACAGCTTGTGTAGCGGGCAGGAGAGTGGCAGCTCGCGAGGTTGGGACCTTGACGAGTTGCAGAGCGCCATTCGCCTTGTCGTGAGAGCTGGTGCCGATATCAACCAACGAGACACTTATGGGGACACACCGCTGTATAATACATTAAGAAGTCCCGTTCTTGTCCGCCTTCTTCTTGATGAGGGAGCGGATGCAAATGTCGAAGCCGAGGATGGGTCTGTCCCTCTTCATCATGTAACCTCGACGGATTCAATGTGTCTCCTAATCGAGCACGGCCGAGCCGACATCAACAAGCGCCAGGCAGACGGCCGAACGCCGCTTCTTTGCATGCTCCGTACAGCAGGCACGGATGCGATCTCCAAGTTCTTGGAATACAACCCAGACTACAATGTCGTTGATAAGGATGGAAACGGAGTACTGCATACGCATCTACTTGGAGGGTACGCTGCTGCGTCTACCATGAAGGCGTTGCTCAAAGTGGGTGCGGATCCCAACCTAAAGAACCGGTTCGGCCAGACCCCGATGCATGTCCTTGTTCAACGCTACGACGATATGCACGAGAAGATCGACGTTTTGCTGGAGGCGGGCGCTGACATAAACGCAAAGGACAGATTTGGCGCTTCAGCACTGCATTTCGTCCTCCCTCGTACTTCTACATATAAACCTGGAAAGGAGCCGCATAGTGATATCAAGCTACTTTTGGGCAAAGGCGCATCGCCAGTTGTGCGCGACTTCAAAGGCCGTACTCTCCTCCATGAAGCGATGAAGAATCTGGAGAACCCCCATTCAAATATCAATTATAAGCTAGATACCAGACGATTTGAATTTCTGCTCAGCTTGGGCCTCGATCCTCAAACCGTCGATTACCGCGGAAACAATCTACTTCACGAGCTCGCACGGCTACGGGCTAACAACAATAGCTATGTTGGTACAGCACTCGTTCCCGTCTGGAAACAGTTCATCGCGCTGGGAATCAAAGCAGACCAGTGCAACGACTATGGACGGACGCCATTGCATATTCTATGTATCCAACGGCCAGACCATGCCAGCTCAAAGCTTGGAGAGGTCAGTGTGATGGACTTCATGACTTCTTTGACTGAAAATATCAATATGGCCGATAGGGATGGCATTACGGCCTTGCATTTGGCAGTCACAGTGTCTGAGAGCCTTACCAAGAAGCTTCTCGCTGCTGGCGCTAATCCGGAAGCCCGGACATTGGAAGGGTTGACCCCACTGCATCTTGCTGCTCGTGCAAGACAAAGCAATATCGTAGGGATGCTACTTGATGCTCTTCACCAGAGGGATCGCGGAACAGATCCTATGACAGAGCTCTGGTCAAGACGCAGTGGCACATCGGCATCGCGAGGTACGCCTGGGCAATTGGACTATGCCCCTAACGGCATTGATGCAGAAGATGGACATGGATGGACGCCACTCTGTTACGCGTGTCGGTCTGGGAGGCCAGAGACCGTTGCCTTGCTACTTCAGGCCAGCGCCCACGTCAAAGATGAGCATGTCTTTGAGGCTTGTGCCGGTTTTGAGGACGAGCAAGCGCTCTGGACGAAACTCGCTCACGAGGCTGACAAAGAGGTCAATATCGATGCAGGCGGCCTCAAACTTAACGATATAACTCGCCCAGTTGTCCGTAAACATCCGAGTCAAGACCCCTGTGACTTAGATTCAAACAACGAGACGACGAGGTTGGAAGAGATCCTCGACATGCTTGGGAATAGAGGTGCTAACATTTCCCGCCTAATACGCGGAGCGATGCCGATGCGTTGGCAAGAGGGCAATATTAGCCCTCTTGGAGCTCCTGCGGCTCATCATCAAGACAATACCGTTTCACGTCTTACGAACGTCCGCGGTGAAAGCCCTACATACGATACAACAGCCAGCACTATGGCGTTGTTTGCTGAGCATGCTAACAAAGATCAGCAGAGTGCCGCCCCCAATGTCTTGCGCGAATTTATGCCTATCGAAAAGGGAAGCAGTAACCAAGCGATCTTTTACTCGGTCCTGAAGCGGCGAGAGTACACTCTGGTCGAGGAGCTATTCCGGCTAGGAGTCGACTTTCTTGCTGTGGACGGCCATATAGTGGTCCCCACTGTGTTCAACGGCGTGGATGTCGAGCTTTATTGCTCCGTGAAAATTAGCAACCTTGGCCTCCTTGTTCGACACGGATTCGCCTTTCTGGTCGAAAGGATAGGCAGTCTCGAAGCCGAAGCAAAGCTCAACGAAAGTTCATCGCATGTGGCAGGAAGCGAGTCTCCCCATGGTCTGGGATGCTACACGGAGAATGATCTCCAGGGTTCCAAGTCTGGTAACGCCCGACCAGCTCCATTGTTGCTCGAAGCCGTCCGCCGTACTTTGCCTAATATGGATGTCGTTCGCTTGCTCGTAGAGAAGTTCGGCGTTAACATCAACGAACTCTTTTACGTCGAGAAGTATGCCGACAACGACTATAAATCGGTGCCATCTGATAGTGCGCTGCATTCTCTCGCAAAAGGCTGCGCTTGGTGGCATGTCGCGTTGGCACTTCCGTACCTCGTCGATAAAAAAGCGAATCTCGAGATCCGCAACTGCGAGGGGCAAACTCCCTTGCACATCGCCCTTAGTGGACAGTATGGCCACCACGAGCCGTTCTACATGGAAGCGGTACGTGTCCTTGTTGCTGCTGGTGGGGATGTCAATGCTGTGGATCGAGATGGACGAAGCTGCCTTGCCTATGCGGGTGGTGACATGGACATGACTTGTCTGCTTCTGTCTCACGGAGCTAAGCAGACCGCTGATGCCTTGTTAACGGCAGTCCACAACATGCAGATCAAGGTGGTCGAGAGCTTGCTATGCGCTGGCGCCAACCCCAATTTACGGCTCGAACACAATCTTAAGCCTTCCAAACGGAGGACTTATGGAAGCTTTGAGGGGTCGAACGTTGGCCGCAAAATGGACAGGCATGAGTGGTACGCTGTGTATTATGCTGCCAAAAATTACAAACCCTCGGGCAATTGCTCTACAGAAGTGGAGAAAGAGAAAAAACAAAATGTTGTTCGTCTCGTTGAGACGCTTCTGGCGCATGGAGCGGATCCATTTGCGGAATTCAGGATGTCCCCGAGGCGGGGGTTTATGCCTACCGGCATACTTGAAGAACCTGAAGGCAAAACCAAAAATCCACAGGCCTCATCAACTATCGCACAAGCTGCGGAGCAGAGTCTTAAGCCTGTCCTCAAAAGCTACGAGGAATGCACGGTCCTGCACCAGCTTCTGATAACTGGTGGCCTTGTGCGTCCCTTCCTTACTCTCCCTGGTCTGAATCCGAATTGCCTAGACCCTCACGGTAGGACCGTCCTACATGCGGCATGCCAGAGCATGCTCGGTCCCGACGTGCCCATTGATGTCATTGACGAGGACGAGTGGGATGGTACACAAATGACATGCCCGTCACTACTGAGCCATTTGCTTTCTCTCGGCGCAGATCCAATAGCCCGCGACATTTTCGGGCGGAACGCTTTGCACCACATGGTCGAGCTACGCAGAGCCCCCCATCCCAGGCCCAACCCAGCCGTTGCTACCTCGTTGGAGGAGCTGGCAAGGAGTCATCCTATGTTAATCAACCAGCGTGACACTTCCGGACGGACACCACTCTACATAGCACTCGTACACGCCGTCACCGTCTCTGATCCAGTACCGGCGCAGATATTGCTTGCCGCTGGCGCAGACCCGTTTTTGGCTGACTACAACAATAACACATTGCTTCACGTTACGGCACGGCGCTACTGCCCTAGATTGATGGCTCTGCTTAAAGAGCTGCTGTCGCGTGGCCTGGACGTGCATGCTCGCAATAACCATGGTGAGACGCCACTATTTTCCTTCTACAAGGCCCCTGACCATTACCACGCCCATCCTGGGAATGGGGCCGAGATTCTCACGGCCCTAGAGTCCTCAGGGGCAGACTTCAGTGTCCGGGATAACAGAGGACGAGGCCTGCTGCATGTTGCTGCTAGCGGGCGGTATGCCTCAAAGTTCAAGGAGTTGCTTGCAAGGGGACTGGACCCTATGCTCGAGAATGACAATCATCAGACCGCTCTGGATGTCGCAGCTGCATGTAATAACAGAGACGTGTTGGAGCTTTTCGAGCATAAGTTCAAATCGGAGCAAGTCCCCTTGTCCGAAGGGCGGCGAGAAGGGGAAATGGAGAACAAAGAATAGCGCCATCATCAACCGGTGGTTCAACACGAATCAATGGATGCCACTGATAGGATATGAGCAATTGCTATTATGCGACCCTTCGTGGTCTTCTGTAATTTTGCGAAGGACGATATCTGCTTTTGAAATTTTGCTTTTCCTATGCACTTATCCATTCCTTCATCCATCCAGTCATCCATTCATCTCTCAGTGGTTCCAACCCCCTAAGTGTTTCACTTGACTTCAGAGTCTTTTCCATGGCCAGTTTCATTCTTAGTCCTCGGTCACCTTGATATTGCAGACCCTCATAGAAATCGAGCAGCTTCATGGCGGGATTCTTTCGCGCCAACGTCGCAGCGTCAACCCCACCAACATTTTCCGCTTCTGCACTCTTCGCCTTCAACGTCGAAAGCCAGTCGGCGTACGGAACAACCTTGATCGGCTCCGGAGATGGAGCCGGATCTTCGAGCGTCTTCTGTATGGGAAGGAGAAGGGACGACCAAGGCACAGGGTTCGGATGCAGAATCTGGAAAACGGACACGCCCGACTCTGCTTTTTCTTCGTCACCGGGCTTCGAATTCAACCCCAGCTCGATGACCACGTCGGCCAGCTGATCAATCGGCACCCAATTGATTTCCTCTCTAGCCGCGGGAACATCGCCCAATGTCTCGGGGACTGCAAAATATATTGATATCCACCGATAGTCCTCCTCTCAACCATCTGAAATGACTCGATTTGCCCTAAATCATGTCATCAACGAAGCCCGCAACTCGTATAAAATTATCAAATCCCTCTCCCCTTAGCCTCCCAAGCCAAAATAGTCGGGTCCTCCACATTGTGAGTTGAATCCACAAGCTCCACATCGACCGCCATCCCCATCGCGACTAGTTATCCCAAGCGCTGCGATCAAACAACCCCCGAGGAAGAGACCGTCATCCTGTATTTCCACAGCGAGGCGTTGATCTACTCCTTCTCGTCGATCGCAGAGTCGCCGTATATCTTCCAACTACTTGAGGAGATCGAAGAGCCGGAAAAGCGATGTATGCTCTTCGAATGGATGGACACGACGCTCTGGGACGCGCGGACGGAGCCGTTCGATGCGAAACTAAAGATATTCAAGTCAGTGGCGCGGTTGTGCTTGAAGGGTTACTTGCGTTCCACCACTAGGACATAGGATAGTATGGACCGTACTGTCACGCATGTGACCGGCGACGGCAGAAATTCTCAGATACGCGCGCTTAAAGTACCGATGTTATGATAGAACTTCACCCAAAAAAGGTTGTCCTCAGTGGCTTCTCAAGCCCTTCGCCAACCGTCAAGATTTCTGACCTGGGCTGGAGTAAGTCTCAATCCGTCCTTGTTTACATTTCCAAAGCTTACTCGTCTAGTCATGTCGATGAATTCTCCCGATGGGTCCCGAAAGTCCTATTACCAATGGATCCAAGGGCCGTCTCTTCGCGCACCCGACGTGTGGCGAGGAGCGGAGGACTACTCCACCGTCATGGACGTGTGGTCCATCGGCGTTCGTGTACGTTTCCCCTTCGACTTGTAGGACCTGACTCTCACCAAGTATCCAGCTTGCGGATTGGATGGGCGACAAAGCTCACTTTGGGCCCCGTGGATGCATAATCGAGACTGACGAGCCGATCGAAACTACCCAAGCTGTGTGGGCCATTGTGAAGCTTCATAAGACCCTAAACCAGCCCCTTTCTGAGTCGCTGAAGGACAAGTTTGACATGGCCTGGGGCATCGCTGAACACGTCCTTGAAGAGAATATGTTCTTAAAGCGAGTCTTCGGGAGCAGATGGAACAGCTGCAGATGCCGTCCGGGAATATCGGCTTCCTAGAGACATTGCTCACAGTGAATCCGGATAGACGACCGTCGCCGGCCGAAGCACTGGATTTGCCGTTCGTCAAGGAATAGGGCACAGATTGCTGGAATAGCAGCGAACTTGATGATTTACGAAGAATAGAAGAGTATACCCGTCTCTCCACTTATGAAATGAATAACAATAGACGCTGGAATGGTGGATAAGGCGTTAAAGGTAGATGAGGACAGCGAACTGGGAACGTCCGACAATTAGAACTCAACTCAGTGTATAAGTACGGAACTTTTATATGACTTGCTTCCGAACTCAACTCAATGTATAAGTACTGAACTTTCATTTGATTTGCCTCTGAATGCTTTCATAAGGCTCGGGCTCAAATCGACCTTGGAGCTATATTAGCTCACCCGAAACGCGGTTTTACCTGGCCCGTTTTATGCCAATTCCACTCCGTGCGAACCAATCGTGTCTATCATTGCGCCTAACGCCATGAATGCATCTGTTGATACTGCGCGATTTCTCCATGCGCAGGCTAACGTGATCCGATTTCTCACGCTTTAACGGCGTTCATCATTCCCTTGCCATCAACCCATTTTCCACCCCTCACCTCCCCCCCGCCGCAAACTGCTGCCTCAACATCATCAACTGCGCCTTCTCCGCCGGCGGCATCGCTTCGATCTGCGCCGGCGACAGCGACATCACCTGCCGAATCAAATCGTCCCGCCCGCCTAGCGCTGGCGCCGGTGCCTGCTGCGGTGGCGGAGCCTGCATTCCGTATTGTGGGGGCGGGGTCGGGGCCGCGCCCATTATGGGGTTGGACATCGGCGGGTATTGTACTTGATACTGCTGCTGTTGTTGGTGTTGTGGGGGAGGGGGGTATCCCTGCATGGGGGCCGGCATGGGGGCCTGCATATTCGGTTGCGGCGTCGGCAGCGGCTGCGCGAGCACGGCGGCGGCCTGCTGCTGCTGCTGTTGCGGGGCGCCGGCGACGTTGATGTGTTCGAGGACGGAGGCGAGGACGTCCTGCTCGACGAGGCCGAGGAGGAGGAGGGATTGGAACACCGCGTAGGAGAGCTGCGGGGCGGCTTTGAGGAGCTCGGTGGCCTTGGATGGGTCGGAGGCCACGAGGCCTTTCATCTGCGAGAGGATATCGAGGAGTTGGGCGGGGGGGAGGGTTTTGAGGGTAGTGGAGATGACGTCGATGGCGAGGAGGTTGGGGGGGACATCGGCGCCGGGCGGGAGGGGGGGGAGGGAGGGGACGCCGGACATCTGCTGGAGGAGGGACGGATCGGGGTGGGTGGTGAGAGGAGGCGGCGCGGTGTAGTTGGACGGGACGGAGTGGGACTCGTGGGCGGCGCCGTCGTTGGAGTAGTCGACGCGGAGCTTGCGGCCCATCATCTCGTAGTCGTTGAGGTTGCGGACGGCGGAGGCGGCGGCATCAGCATCGATGAATTCCGCGAAGCCGAAGCCTTTGGGCTTGCCGGTTTCTTTGTCGTAGACGAGGCGGAAGTTGAGGACTTGGCCGACGCGGGAGAGGGTGTCGATGATGGTTTCTTCGGTGACGCCTGGGGATTGTGAGTGGATGCGATAGGAAGGGAAGTGTTGGGGGGAGGGAGAAGGTAGAAGGTAAGATGTTTGTGAGAATTCACTCCTTGCAGTATGTTTGCGGAAGGGGGAAGTGAAACTCACCGTAGGGGATATTCCCAATGAACACCACACGACCAGCTTTCGACGCCATCTTCGTACGTGCTTGTTCGGTCAATCCCTTCAAAATTCTGACGTCCAACCAAAGGAGATTCTAAAATTAAAGGTGGAAGAGCAATGGCCAATGTTGAGCGAGCGGAGCGGCGAGGGGATCAGTCCATTGTTGAATGCTCGGCGGGTGTCGATCAAAGTTGAAGTTGAAGCAATGAATTCATCACCATTTGTTGATGCCTGACGATTGCAATTTTCGCCTTAGGAATTGAGATGACAAGGGTAATGCGAATATGGACCAATCACCGTTGGTTAAAGTTGCTTGCCTGACGATTGAATGATGCCTGAGGAACTCACACAGACACAACATAAACACAAGACATCAATTGATCGATCAGGGACCGAGAATTCCATCGCTGGGGTGACTGAACTGGGTACGCAGTATTGAGGTTGATATTGATATGCTAGATAATAGAGAACATCCATCCTTCCTATCCACACAACTGTGTATAGCAGCACCTATTATTGAAACGATCTCGCCAAACTTTTCCCAATACCAGACAATAAGCATCGCAGTATCGATTCTTCAATACGTTAAAGATGTCACATCGAATACCGAGCGACATTGTAATAGATATACAGCCATATAGCAGAGCCAACAGAATCCCTACACACAAAAACAATGCAGAGATCCATTCTGTCGCACAACAATATACCTACATATCCACCGAACCCTAAATAATATCCTGCAATCGTCCGTCTGCAATATCCAAAACACTTCTTAGGTAACCCTCTTACCCCTTCCCCTCCTCCCTCCTTCCCCCCCCACCCCACCCACTCCCATACCCCGGCGCAAACCCCCGATACCCCCCCTGCCCATACGGACTCTGCACCACCATCTGGTACCCCGGCGGCGGCGGTGGATATGGCCCCGCGCCCGAAAGCACGATCTGGTATGGTTGCGGGTAGGAGTGCTGCTGATGGAAGGGGGGCTGGTGCGGGTCGAAGGGGGGGAGGAGCGAAGGGTGGGGTTGCGGTGGGTGAGAATGAGGGGGGTGAGAATGAGGCGGAGGTGGGAGGGACGATGGGGGGAGAGAGGTGGGGTAGGTGGAGGC